CCAGACTTTTTTCTCTGGGGGGGGGGGGGGGGGCGCTGTTAAAAGTATATATTTTCTATATATATTTCATTTCGTTCGGAGTGGCGGTAGACTTTTTTTTTGGGGGGGGGGGGGGGGGGGACGAGCCCCCCCCCCCCCCACCCCTCCTGAAGAGATGCATGGAAGAAACTCTGTTTGCACTGTTGAATCTAGCTTACATTGGTCTCATTAACTTTCTATATGAAGTCCTGCTAAATATAGAGACTGAAATGCAATGTCCTCACAATACAAGTTTTGATCGTACTGCTTTATGGTTTTGTTTCTTCAGACAGACATTTATGAAAGTATAGATCGTACTTGGACATCTGCTGGACATACCCCCCCCCCCCCCTCAGGCATTAACACCCCCCCCCTACATACCCGGATAAAGAACCCGCGACATAATACCCAGGACTAAAAAAACCCGACTGACGTTAAATAAGAAAACACTAACGAGAACTGAAATGTGAAGGTATGCACGTTTTATTTTTGCCACGGACTTATTGGCGGGAGAGAGGGGGGAGTAATGTCTGGAAGGGGGGCGGGGATAAGGTAGGGGAGGGGGAGAGTTCGTTTCTTTTTTGACCGGGCACCGTATAAAACGTGTGCTGTAATCCATCGACACGAAGACTGGGCCTGATTACATGAGCACAATTCTCTGGTACTGAACACACCCCGTCTCCCTCAGTGACGTTACACGTACAGGTGGATCGTGGTGTACCAGTTCAATAACTATCGATCTCTTCGTACCCGTTGACCGACTTACGACATTGACATAAATAAATTGACCTGTCGCTCTCAGCATTATCGGGAGCTTAACTCACACTATAAATTATATCGGGGAATGTTAGCTTCTAATATCTAACAGCTAAAACAATACCGACAGTTTCAATTCATGGACATAAATAGTAACCTATCATAAATAGTAACCCATCATAAATAGTATCACATATATATATATATATATATATATATATATATATATATATATATATATATATACATATATATATATATATATACATATATATATATATATATATATATACATATATATATATATACATATAGATATATATATATATATATATATATATATATATATATATATATATATATATATATATATATATATATATATATAAAGTTAATCATATAGAATTTTTTTTTCTTGTTTAGGAAATGTGTTAAAAGAACATAATAACACAGCTTCTAATTATATTTTTTACATTTTACTATTGATGTCATTTGACAAAGGACCGCTAAATCAAACGCTTCACATCAGCATTACGGCTAATGCGGTTTCGCGTTGATTTTAGACAGCACCTATTTATCTTCGGAACATCTGGCTACCTACGCTGGTTTTAAATCCGGCCATTGCCGGTGGGGACACGTTAGATCAGAAATATTTGTTTATACGGGTTAATTAGCCAGTTCAAAGATGTACCCTACCCTATTTATGGCATATGATATTTCTATGAAAACCTTTAATCTACACTATAAATCAAAGAAAAACGTGATTTGGCATTTCATAACGAGGCTAATTACTTGAGGCGTATGCAGCAGGTGAGCAAAGGGAGCGGCCGCTCCCCCGAATACATGTTTTGGTAAACTTCGCATTTTTAATATATTTATGCAGTTTCAAAATAAAACTAACTACCACTGAAAAAATAAAGAAACTTGGTAACCCTATGGATTTTGTAATCAATACAATAAAAATAAGGCGCCGTTTTATGAACTCGCCACTTCCTTAGCCCGAAGCCCGACTATTCCCTTGCTTATTACATTTCCTAGGTCGCATAGGTAAATATAACATATAAAATGTGCTTATTCGACATCTAGATCTATTACTGCATGTTCGGCCTATTTTTATACTTGCTTATATAGTCATCTATGTTTTCGATCAATATGATCCATAAAAATATAATTAGTTACAACAAGTGTGGATACAAGTGTCCTACAAACCCCCCCTCCCCTCCACACACAAACACATCTACACACACACACACACACACACACACACACACATATATATATATATATATATATATATATATATATATATATATATATATATATATATATATATATGAGTGTGTGTATGTGTGTATATTATAGGGCACTTGTGTCAACTTGCCTTATGTGTCTTTTAGCCCCACCTTCCCTTTTTCAGTGGTATTAAAAGATTTAGTTTAAAATCGCTTTAAAGAATCTATTTCTGCTGTTTATACAACCGCCGTTGAATAGAATAGACCGCTTTTGGTTCTATTTGACTTAGCCGCTGCATAGCTTTATATTCAGTTCCAATTATTTGCTTTATCAAAATTCAACTAAAACAATTACCCATAATTTTATTATTTTTAAAATTTTTATTTTATAAAAATAAGTTTTTTAAAAACAAGGCGTGGCTCTCCAACTGTGTTATTTAATTACTTTTGACGATTGTGTGTGATTATACATTCTATTTGAGAACCGGTGATTGCCATTGCGTAGGCACACAATCGCCCCCATACAATAGATTTATGACAGCACACACACACGGTGATAAATCACATCCCTGTCCGTGCTGTCATCCAGCTGTCCTCGTGTGTGAACATTTTGTTCACATTTGCCAGGATGTCACGCTGTCACGCTCGGTCTAGCGTGACGCTCAGCTTATCTAAGCCAAAAACCTTTTCAATGTAGACTAGAAAAGAACAAGAAATATTTAAAGGGGCATAATTTTTTTTCGTTTTTTTTTTTTAAATTTAGGAGTACAAAAGCTACCAGATTTATGAATGTTTTCAATTGAAAGTTCATAGAATTTAAGGCCTTAGATTAAAAAAACGTTTTTTTTACGTCTTTTTATGTTTAAAAATAATTCTATTTATATTCTCGAAATAGCCCTTAACAATAACGTTACTTCATACATATGATAGGGGAGACAACTACATTAGGAAAATTTGGTGGTGTGGATTGGAATCTGGGTGATTTAGTATAGGGAATTCTTCAAATTAGCTTATGTGACAAGTCTTGTTGATTATGTTGCCTGTCTTGTTGATTATGTTGCCTGTCTTGTTGATTATGTTGCCTGTCTTGTAGATTATGTTGCATGTCTTGTTATGTTGCCTGTCTTGTAGCTTATGTTGCCTGTCTTGTTGATTATGTTGCCTGTCTTGTCTTGTTGATTATTTTGTCTGTCTTGTTGATTATGTTGCCTGTCTTGTAGATTATGTTGCCTGTCTTGTAGATTATGTTGCCTGTCTTGTAGATTATGTTGCCTGTCTTGTAGCTTATGTTGCCTGTCTTGTAGATTATGTTGCCTGTCTTGTAGATTATGTTGCCTGTCTTGTCTTGTAGATTATGTTGCCTGTCTTGTTGAATTATGTTGCCTGTCTTGTTGATTATGTTGCCTGTCTTGTAGCTTATGTTGCCTGCCTTGTCTTGTAGATTATGTTGCCTGTCTTGTAGATTATGTTGCCTGTCTTGTAGCTTATGTTGCCTGTCTTGTCTTGTAGATTATGTTGCCTGTCTTGTAGATTATGTTGCCTGTCTTGTTGATTATGTTGCCTGTCTTGTTTTGTTGAATTATGTTGCCTGTCTTGTAGATTATGTTGCCTGTCTTGTAGATTATGTTGCCTGTCTTGTCTTATTGATTATGTTGCCTGTCTTGTCTTGTTGATTATGTTGCCTGTCTTGTCTTGTTGATTATGTTGCCTGTCTTGTTGATTTTGTTGCCTGTCTTGTTGATTATGTTGCCTGTCTTGTTGATTATGTTGCCTGTCTTGTTGATTATGTTGCCTGTCTTGTCTTGTTGATTATGTTGCCTGTCTTGTCTTGTAGATTATGTTGCCTGTCTTGTTGATTATGTTGCCTGTCTTTTCTTGTTGATTATGTTGCCTGTCTTGTCTTGTTGATTATGTTGCCTGTCTTGTCCTGTTGATTATGTTGCCTGTCTTGTTGATTATGTTGCCTGTCTTTTCTTGTTGATTATGTTGCCTGTCTTGTCTTGTAGATTATGTTGCTTGTCTTGTCTTGTAGATTATGTTGCCTGTCTTGTTGATTATGTTGCCTGTCTTGTAGATTATGTTGCCTTCTTGTAGATTATGTTGCCTGTCTTGTAGATTATGTTGCCTGTCTTGTCTTGTAGATTATGTTGCCTGTCTTGTCTTGTAGCTTATGTTGCCTGTCTTGTAAATTATGTTGCCTGTCTTGTTGATTTCATTGATTGTCTTAAATGATTATGTTGCCTGTCTTGACTGATTGATTTAAATCACTAACACAAATTCTCTAAAGGTTTAGCACATCGATAACACACACATATCAAATATCAAACTCCACCAATCGCTACCCAAATCTTCTGTAAACTAGATCTGTCAGCTTTATCTGTTGTCTACCAAACTATGCCCGAAGACTTCTTCTACGGCGGGTTTCCCCCATTATTTCTATTAACAACCTGACGTATACTGATCCCACCAACTTTCGTGGATTCCTTGTGGAGGCTAACTAGCACCTCATTATATTCTGGTAACCTGGTAACGTGACTCTGACCACCCAACCCTGACCGGTCATCTCGCTTCTGATTGGCTCGTTCTGACTGACCAATGGTTTGTAGCTTTCTGGCAGACTTCAAGGCGTAAAGAAAAATACATTTCTATCTCCTGCTCTGTCTTCCTGCGTTGCGACTTATTTCTGTGCAGAGTTTCTTTCAGACATCTCTTCGCAGGAGGGGGGGGGTTAACTTCCCCTCTAGAATAGGTCTACCGTCCCAATCATCCCTGGAACGAAATAGAAAAAAATTTAGGCCGATTCTAGTCAAAAATGTATACTTTACATAGGAAAATATGCTTGAACCAGTACCCCCCCCCCACACACACAGACCCCTATTTAAAACACTTTTATGGAACACATATATTTAAAACGCGTTTATGGGACACATATATTTGAAATACTTTAAAGGAACAAATACTTTTAAAGTCACGTGATTTTGTTTCCACAGGCGTGTCTGCCCAGACCAACAATCCTGACGTCATCGGTATGGCTGTGGCTGGCTGCGTTAGCTTCCTCATGCTAGCTGTCGTCGTAGCCATCATTGGATTGTCTTTCTACTGGTAAGATTAGCTTCCTCATGCTAGCTGTCGTTGTAGCCATCATTGGATTGTCTTTCTACTGGTTAGAACGATGTCACTCAGCAACGAACTCAATGAAGTAGCTATTCACAAGAGTTATAGCCGGCGTGGCCGAGCGGTCAAGCGCTTGACTGTTTATCCGAAAGACTCGAGTTCGAATCCGGTTTTAAATCAGTACGTCCCTGAGTCCACCCATCTCTGACGGGTCACGATAGGGACTGTAAAGGCGATTGGGTATAGTATAGTGCTGACTACACTATCCTTTCATAAGCCGAGGTCACAGAAACTGGTGAACTCAGGGCCAGACCTTGTCTAAGGCTACAATTTACCTTATGTTAAATATCTGTCTTAATCTTAAATTATGATTATTTCCTTTCAGAAAATTGGGTTGTTTTTACAGCATCTGAAACGAACACCCCTCAGTGTTTCTTCTAGACTTTTTTCTCGGGGGGGGGGGGGGCACTTGATATTTTCGGGGGAGCGGACATTTTCCGGGGGGGGGGGGGGAGGGCTGTCATCTATATAAATTCCATTTCGTGGGGAGGGGGGCGAGGGCTGAGCCCCCCCCCCCCCCCCCCCCCCCCCGAAGAGATGCCTGGAATTCAACTTCCATTTTATTTAGACATGAGAAAAGACAGCTCTTTTTAGACCCCCTCGCCATCCCCGCTCTTCTATTAGTGCTACTGTGCACTTAAGTTTTGAGAAAATAATCTACCAACTTGCGAACAACCTGTAAGATGCCGCTTAACTTTTAAAAATTAAATTGACATTAATTTATTTTATTTTTTTCGTCACAGGGGTCCTATGTTCAACCAATGGATGAAACAGAAAGGCTTTGTCCGCATGCCCAAAAATTACTTCAAGAAAAAGGAAGAAGCCAAGAAAAGACTCGTTGGCGATTCCAGACCGTCTTCTATGATAAACGGCCAACTCCCTGCACAGAACTTTGACCGAGGTAAAACAGTTATCTAGTAGATGTTCAAGTGTGTGCGGGGTTTTCTAATTAAAGGAATAATTCTCTAACAGAAAATATTGAATCTTGTCTAGTTAAGCCCCGCCGCTAACGCAAAGAGTGCACGGGTGAAAAGTTAAGCCATGCCACTTTTGACCTATTTCTGATGTCTAAACATTTGAATATTTAAACGCACGTCATAACATTAAAAACAACTTGTTACCTGCCTCAATAGTTAGTTTTAGGGCTAGGATTAGGTAAGGGTCAGCTTAGGGTTAGGGTTTAAAACTAAAATTACAAGTTTCATATCCTCTTTTTTGATAATCTTTTTTTTTTTGGTGGCGGGGGTTAACTTTTTGGCGGATTTTATCTGAACAAGATCCAAAATATTTAGCTAACATTTCGCTTAATTACTGTGAGATTAGGTGTGTAGTTTTCGTCAGAATATATAAATAAATCTACTTTGATTTTCTTAAAAAAATAATCAATTAGATATTTAACGATTTTAATTTACCTTATTTTATTGTATTAATTAGTTGATCCGAGAGGTGAGCATTTTTTTCCCTACAATGTCACAGTTTTTTCTGGCAACCAGAAAGTCGCTGTGCATCTAATTAAGCTGTGCTTTCATACAAACAATACTTAACTCTACTAATCAACGGGCTTTCTCTCTTCGTAACAATACATTATTAATATAGATAGCAGAGATAATACATTGTACATGTAAATGTGTTACAGATGACGGCGTTATATTACAGCCGGGTGTAAGGATGAATAGCAAATCAACCGGAAGCAGAAGTATTCTATGAATTCGCTTTCTGTATTCTATCAGTTTTTTTTTTATTGCAGGGTTTTATTTGGTGTTTCATTTTTTTTCCCCAGAAGATTGGTGTTGTGTTTTTTTTGTTTGTTCCCTTTTCTTGGTACTTATTAAAACGTTGACATGTTGTATTTGATGCTCTTGTTTGCTAGTATCGCTAATATAACATTTTTTTTTTACCAGGGGTGGCGCTTAAGGGAAGAAAATTTCAAGGGGGGGGGGGGGGGGTAGTGTTTCTTTTAAACATTTTTCTTCAGGGAACAGCACTTGTGTGTGGGGAGGGGGGAGGTCAAACTAAATGCATATAGGGATATAATATATATATATATATATATATATATATATATATATATATATATATATATATATATATATATATATATATATATATATGTGTGTGTGTGTGTGTGTGTATGTATTTAGTGTCCACCCTGCTCACGGAAATGTAAGTCTACCAACCCCCCCCCCCCCTTCACCGACTGAAAGAAACACTATGGTTGGCCCGTGTACCAAATCCCCGCCCCAGGCCCTAGATTATTATAAAAGTTTTAAAGGATGCCAAGGAATCCTCTGCATTTACATTTACCTTCTCACTTGCGTTTACTTGCTAATTATTTTGCTGAAGAAACAGCTGCAGTTATCACCCTTGACCTAAACATAACAGCGCTAATGGCAGATACCTTGACACAGATTCGTCATGTCAGCGTTTTTATAAGAACCTCAGTCATTATTTGTCTCATTTATTGTGCTTTATTGTCGTGTGATTAGTTCGGCTAATTTAAGCACCAATTACTTTTTTAAATTAGTTTTTCTGGAGATAATCTGAGCCAGATAACGACACTCTAAATTAGTCTAAAAAAGGCAAACTACGTCTGTTTAATTATATTTATTACAAGCTTTATCAAAACTTAATTAATTGCTCTTAGATCTATTCGTATATTATTAGATTAATGCTTACATAGCATTTGTGATAATGCCTACTTACAAGGAGCATTCTGGAGGGGGGAGAGGGTACGTGCCATCCAGCATCTTTTTTTTGTTGCACTGGTCATGAAAGGATCGTCCTTAATAAGGTCCCACTCCTAGTGGGGTGGGGGGGGGGGGGCTTTATCGCGATGTGTACCAAAGGGTTCAGAGACTATAAAGACTACCTTCTGCATTTCAAAAACTAACCTAAAGAAACTTTTGTTTATTGTAAATTGTAATGAATTTGTATTAAAATGGGCCATCTTTAACGTAGTAAATTTTATTTAAAAAAGCGCAATTTTAGTGGGGTGGTGTGCTGAGAAAGAGCAGTGTTTCTTCCAGACTTTTTTGAAATTTTCTGGGGGGGGGGGGGGGGGCGGACATTGTTAAAAGTATATATTTTCTATATAAATTATATAAATTTCATTTCGTTCGGGGGGGGGGGGTAAAATTTTTTGCCCCCCCCCCCCCCCCCGGAAGAGATGCCTGGAAGAAACTCTGAGAAAGAGGGGAGGGGGGATTAGTGTAACGATGTGTAAATAGTGAGGGGGGGGAGGTTAAAAGTCGATTTGAAAGGTGTGACGTCGTTTAACTGAACCAAACTAATAAATTATGATAATTATGTTATAATGCAATGTCAACGTAGGTAATACATTGAAATAAAACATTTGACTACCTGCAGAGTTATTTTAAAGCTAGAGTTAGCGATTCATAAAATTTATATCTGATATATTTTGACAATTTTTTTTATTTTGGTAACAAAATTATATTCAAACGTTTTGTCCTCTCCAAACTAAATAGGGGAGGGGAGAAAGGTGTTCTATGTTAAAAAAATCTCTAGATTTTGTTATAGGGACGTGATGTAAAATGCAGCTTATGTTGCAATGTTTTTGGAATTTTATTATAAAATTACATTCTAAATCATAATTTTCAATCCAGCACTTTAATAAATTATATAGTTTATTCAAGCCTACAGCTTTATTTTAATTTATAGTGTTTTTTTTTAAGTTAGATCTAGAGATCTAAAAAGCTGTCTAGTCCTTCAGGTTTTCTGTTATTTTTAGTACTTAATTTAAAAGCGAGATTTTTACTAATTCAATTTCTAAGAAGAAAAAACAAACTACTTATAGAATTATTTTCTTAAAATGGTGTCTGGTGCTTTGATAAATGAAATCTTTAGGCTACTGATTAGATTCAGTAGAAGCAACTCATTGAACCCTTTAGAAGACCAGCTACAACACCCAATATTTTCTTCGTTTTTTTTATTATTGAATTCAGTGGTTTGTAGAAGAAATAAGATTTATTTAATCACAAATGGTATTATCAAATAGTTATCAAATAAATATCAAATAATTATCAAATAATTACCAAATAATTATCAAATAATTATCAAATAATTATCAAATAATAAAAAAAACATGCCAAGATACAGGAGGGAAATGTTTCCACAAATTGAAAAATAATAATTCATAATTGCCTACATTACTACATTAGTTGAATTAGAGATCAGACGAAACAACATATGTGTTTTCAAATATAGTTTTACCTAAGGCCACCTAAGGGACTGAGTGGGTCTACATGTGAAACTTTTTAAAATATTGAAATGTGTACATAGATGATCCATATGTTTATCTATATGACACTATATGTTAGCAGTAGCACACTGTACTGTTCTCTATATGGCATAGTTCTGTTTTTATATTAAAAAACAGAAAATATATTTAGCACTGGTTATGGGTTTCTATTTACTGCACATTTACGTAGATACTTAACTAGAAAGTCTCTTGCTTTTACTACGAGCCTATATCAGTAGATGGTCATGGTCAGATGTTACCTCAGTTTAAAACTTTACATTGAATAGATAACAAAGCAAATTTAATTAACGAATTCAGAGCTGTTTAACATTATAATGCTTGTTTTTTTAACAAAATCAGTTTTAACCTTGTAAAATTCTGCAACATTGTCGTGTTGATTATAGTTTTAGGAAATTCATCAGAGGAATTAATTTATCATTTGTTTCATTGAACTGATAAATAGTACTACTTTTTATCCTAATTTAGTTGAGTCTTGTATTGGCTTAAAAACTAATCATTTTAATTTATTAACTCACCTTGACTAGGGATCTGTTAAAAAAATTTGAAGAGTTTAAAAGAAATAAAAATGTAAATATATATGAAAAGTTATTAACGGAATATTCTATTTTCTTTTCCAGCTTCATGGGTTAATGGTTGGTGAGTGAATTAAAAACATTAATTTCTTGTTATAAGTCTGTGACTTATATTTACACTACAACTTAAATAATAAAAACAAAATATTTGAGTGAATTAAAATTTTGATGACTATTTAAAAATGTTTACAGGAACCAAAGACAGAGTGCATTTGTTAATAAGATTTATGAAGAAAAGGTTAGTTGTTGCCAGAAATATACTCTGATACATTTTTAAAATAATATCCAGTATTGTGTTTTCAACACATTAGCTTTACAAATATATTTTCAGATGACTGTTGTTAAACAGATTTTTTAAAAAATAGGTCTATACTAGAGATTCTGTAAAAGGTGCATTTTGAAAGATATTGTCATGTAACAAAGTGTTTATTTTAATTTTAAAATATTAACCCATGACCTCTTAAACAGGATGTGACTCTTGAGCTGGGTCCGGAAGGGGAAGAAGAATTCAAAATAGAAGCAGAATTGGTCGACAATGAGGTAACTTTTATGATACAATAATTTTGACAAAAGGTATCAAGATGTAAACAACAGCCATAAAATTAAATACACCTGCTTGTATTGTAAATGCTAGTAGGGAAACATAGTAGCTACTTAGTTATTTTATCAAATTCAAATTTATTCAAATTTATTCAAACAACGGTTACAATTGTAGGCACAAAGGCCTTTTTTCACATTGGCCGTTTAAACAAATAAAGCAATTCAATAACACATAGCAGTAACACATAGCACTAAAAATGTGGAATAAAGAAACAATGGTACATAGCTATCATACATAATGAGATAAAAAAGAGAATATAATAGATGAATGAGAAATGTTACAATGAGTCAGTTAGGTCATTAAATAATTTTAGTTTTAATTTAGATTTGAATATATTTTCAGATCTAGATAGCTTTATTTTATTAGGAAGATTGTTCCACAAATTAGAACCAGAGTAGGCGAAGCTATGTTTTTGGAAAAAGGTTGAATAAGGGAATGGTAAATTGAGACGACGATTTAATTTTATGTTAAAAGAAAAAAGATCTGATAAGTAAGAGGGGGCTGTTTCGTGGAATATTTTATATAAGAAAATTGATTTAGTATATATTATCTTTTTATTTAATGGAAGTATTTTAGTTGTAAGAAAAGAATCCATACTACTAGACAAGCCAGTAACCAGTTTTATAGCCCTTTTTTGTAAAGAAAGAAGAGGACGCTGCTTAGATATAAAGCTGCCGCTCCACACTACAGAAGCATAATCCAACCTGGATTGAATAAAAGCCTCATAAAAAACCAGCCTGCTCCTATAGTTGAGAAAGTTCTTTATCCTTGCTAACTGAAAGGTTGTCTTTAATAAGGACATTCTTAGAAAATGAATATGGTCAGACCAAGTGAGGTTGTGATCTATAAACAATCCTAGGCATTTGTAACTGTCTACCTGTTCAATGTTTGAATTGTCTATAGTAATGTTTAATGCGGTGGATGGAAGACGAAGGCGTTTCTGATGAGTTGTAATAAACATTGACTTGGTTTTATCGGGGTGAAGTTTCATTTTGTTAAATTTTGTCCAAGTTGCAAGCTGATTGGCACATGTTTGAAGTTTGTAACTGAGTGACTCAGCACTGTCTGCAAAGACATGCAAAGAAGTATCATCAGCGAACATCTCGCACTGACCAGCGTCAATATGTAATGGAAGATCATTAATGTATAAAGAAAAAAGTAAAGGACCTAAGATTGAGCCCTGTGGAACCCCTATATTAACATATTTCTGTGAAGAGATGGTATTAAGGTGAAACACGCGTTGAGATCGGTTAGATAAAAAGGAGTGAAGTAACCTAACTGTAAAGTCGTGGAATTTGTATGGAATTAGTTTTTTAAGAAGTATGGTGTGATCAATAGAATCAAAGGCTTTTCTGAAATCGACAAACAGCGAGCCACAGAGTAGGTTTTTGTTAATATTTATAAGCCAGTTTTCATTCATCTTAATCAGAGCAGTGTGACAAGAATGAAACTTTCTAAACCCAGACTGATTACTATGGAAAAGCTTGAACTTTTCTAGGTAATATGAAATGCATTTGTTTATATGTATTTCTAGTGGCTTGGAGAGGGAAGAAAGTATAGAAATTGGCCTGTAGTTATTAGCATCTTGGATGTTACCTTTTTTGTGTAGTGGTATAACCTTAGCATGCTTAAAATGTGTCGGGTAATAGTGCTTGGCAATACAGAGGTTATAGACATAGGTTAAAACTTCGGAAATTATTGGAGCTGAAATCTTCAATACATTATTAGAAATATCATCAAACGAAGTTGTTGAAGACGGTTTAAGAGATCTTAGGCTAACATAAACTTCATGAACAGTGAGAAGCGGAATGATCAGCTCTGACCTACCACGGTGAGCAGAATTACAAAAAATTTTAAGCTCCTCACTGATTGTGTAATCAGCATCTGTGTTGAGCGCTACAGATGATATAAAATGATTGTTAAAGTCATCAGCAGATATCTGGCAATGTCCAGCTGTATTACATGTGCGTTTTTTTCTAATTATTTGATTTATAGCAGTCCAGATAGATTTGGAATTAGGTTTGCCTGACAGCAGCTTATTAAAATACTCTTTCTTCGACCTACGCACGAGCAGTTTGACATAATTTCGCTGCCTACAAAAGTCCTCAGAAGTTCCATGACGTTTAAGCCAGTCTCTTTTATTAATTGCAGATTCGATATTGTTGTTAAACCAAGAAGGTTTGTATGTAGTCTTAACTCTTTTAGAGATTTTAGGAATATGTTTATCATATATAGTATAGAAAATACGCAGCCATTCAGAAATGGCAAGATCGGGACAATTATAATTGTATACATTGCAGAAGGGGGCAGCCAATAAATCCGAAAGAAAAAGATTTTCATTAAATTTTCTAAAAGAGCGATAACTTATAGTTATGTGTTGCCCCGAAGGTACACATAATCTTTTTGTCGAAAAAGTACAACAAACAGGGAAGTGATCACTAACACCACAAGAGGGAACACAGACCTCTATTAGGTTGCAGTCAGGTGATGCGTATATGTGGTCAATTATTGTACTAGATTTATCATTTACCCTGGTAGCCGTGTGCACAAATTGTTTAAGATTCAAAGAATCAATAATATCTTGCCAATATCCTTGAGGTTTTAATAAATTTATATTAAAATCTCCCAATATGATATATTCATTGTTAGTAGATAAAACGGTATCCATCATGGAGCAAAAACGATCATACCAATCCATGTTTTCACAGGGATTTCTATAAAGGAAGCAAATTAAAATTGCCGGATGGTGTTTGCTTTTTTCGAGTTCAATCCAAATACATTCTATATTGTCCGTTGACAGATCCATCCTGTACTTGAAACGAATTGAGGAGTGGACATAGACACAAAGGCCAGTTTCTTTGTGTAAGGATGGGTCTCGGCGTATTAGGTTATAATCAGAGACGGATATCTCAACATCATTTATAAAAGATTGTAATCGAGTTTCAGAGAAACCAAAGATATGGAAAGGATTGTTGGAATTGTTTAAAATTTTTAGAACTTCATGGTGTTTATTAAATATGTGGAAAATATTTAAATGGCCCAATTTTAGCCCACATTGTGAGGGCCAGGATGATGAAAATAGACAATGCATAAAGATAATAAAATATCAATGAATAAGAGATGTTATAAACAAAAATCAATATAATGAACTAATTAAATATCAATATAATTGTCTTACAATTACACGCTTTGTCATCCAATAAACAAACACTCGCTGCTCTTCACACTGCCTTCACTATAATTAAAATAGTACAGTGAGCTAAACTAGTAAATAGTAAGTGAAAAAAGTTAGGTTCCAGGAAGGCGCTTAAGCGACAACATTAGAGCTTGATGAAGCAACAAAGGGCTAAAGCCCATTAAGTGATGTAAGCCTGGGCTAGAGTTCAATTGATCTGAAGATATTGTTGGAAGCAAATCAACAGTCGAAACCAAATCAGACGTTGTACCTTTTACGTTTGAAAGTTGCACATGGTCTTTATCTGTTAAGCTGACGGCTCTTTGGGGATACTTTATATTTTTAGCAAGAATGCTGCTTCCAATTTTAGTCAAATGAATACTGTCACTGTACAAGCGTTGTCTCGGGGCTCCTGACTTCGCAGTGAAAAAAGGTGTATTGTTTATAAAACAGTATTTATAACTAATGCAGAAAGATTTTAAAAATCTATTATTTATATCTATCAACTGCCTACCCTTGCCCCGACATGGGGGTACGATGGATGAAAATCGGATTGTTGCGTTGGGAAATTTGTGAGTGATACTTCTCACAATGTCTAGCATATTAGCTTGTGACAGCCTGACGTTTGATAGACTGTCGTTGACACCACAATGTAAGGTTACAGTTGTGGTATTAGAGTCACGTGATCGGCTACTAATAATGTCCCTAATTTTTTCAAAATTTGCCCCAGGCAGCGCTATTACCGATACACGCTCGTAATGATCCGTGGCCATTATATCAGGATGGAGACCTTTAAGTGTAGAGTCACCAAGGATCAGATGGTGTTTCGTTGTTTGGTTGGTGTAGGGGGCGGCGACATGTTGTGTGCTATCTCTATTAGTGGCATAGTGAGTAGAGCGTTGGACAACAGGGACATGAACAGCCTTGACCGTTGGGACGCTGTATTGTGTAGAATTGCTTTTAGTTCGTGGTCGTTGCAGGGTGCTGGGACTCGAATGTTCCGATGGTTTGATTCGCGCTCTGTCATCACGTTGCGTAATTTTAACAGGGATTGGGAACGGAGCTTCTTGCATGATGCCTGCCGATGTGATTTTTGTATCATTTATTAGTTGTTGTTGATTATCCTCACATGTTGAGGTGGATATTGTGCTGCAAGAGGGATTCTTGGTTGTGAGGAGTTTCTTTAGTGACGCAGAAATATTTTCTTGATCAATCAAACGTTTCTTAAGGTTAACGTGTATATCTTTGCAGCTATGCACTTCATTAGATAGTCTCTTGACTTCATCCCTTAAGACAGCGTTTTCGACTCGGAGTTGTTCTAGTTGGTTGTTAAACAGCAATTTCTCCGCTTTAAAAGCTTTTTTAACACAGGTGATCTCGTTAAGAATAAACGATCTTAAGTTATTATCCAGTTGTGTGGTTTGAAGAAATGATATTTTTGGACTAAGCAAATCAGTTGGTTGAGATAGGTTTGATGAAAATGTATAGTTATTTATAGGTGTTACACAATCTAACGGATTGGTATTGATCGTATCCTCTGCACATTGATTGTCACTGTTGGAAGCAGACATAATCATGGGCGGTGAAATGGGTAGCTCCAATACTCTGGGTGGGGACAGTGAAGGTGGTGGTGACAGTGATAGTGGCGGCGACATGGGTAGAGGCATGTCGACAGCTTTGTCTGTTGTAATTAGGTTATTTAGAATACAGCAAAATTCCGAATCCACCCAAACAGACACAACGTTAGATTTTCCCTGTACCATAATTTTGTTATTCGTGTGGTACAGATGGACAGATAGCCCTGGTAATTTATAAATATCTTCAACATTGGCGCCATCATCATCCCTTCTTTCCTCAACAACACCAGCATATTTAGTTTTGAAGATTCTTTTTACTTTTTCATAGCTAATTGAGTTTCTAAAGGCAACGATAACGCATTGTCCTCCATCTTTCTTTTGAAAATGAATATCATCCACTGCACAAATGTTAGCAATCTTTTTTGATATCGCTTTTTCTTTATTTAAACGATACTTCTTAGCTCTGCTGCTTCTGGTGACAACACCAGTCCCTAACATTTTCACTCACCAGTAAAATTAAAATATCATGCTGACATCAGTAGAAATAGATGAAAAAGAAAACGAATCATCAGTAGATCTACAACAACTAAGAATATAGATATCCGGTTTACATTTTAACAATGGATGAGACAATAATATAAAAACTTAAAATATCACAATAAGAACCGGCTAGTAAATTAGTATTAAACTACATTCTCAACCCTAATGGATGAGTAGTACTTCCCTTAGATTTATTTGGATTAAATAGTGCATAAAAACACTAAAAACTATGAAAGAAAGTTGACATCAATTCCGGAAGTAAACAAGTTGACGCCATTTTGAGTATATCTACTTTATCACTTTCAGTGCTTGGTTAGGATGAGATCTGTAACAGAAGTTAAAACCTTAAATATTCTCAGCTGCATTTCTAGAAGTAGCCTATCAAATATTTTTACAAAAGAAATTTAATTTTGTTTCATTCTTAAATGTGTAGTTCTTTAAAATCTCAATACCATATTAAGCACCTAATCCTTTTTATTTTGATTCTTTAATTTCCAGCACCTAGACATTGGTCCATTTAAAAGACAGAATACAGATACACCCATTCCAGGCAATGTGTATAATGAGCCCTACATCTATAGCACTGTGAACAGCTCTCTAAAGACCAAGAAGAAACCAGCAACCAATGGCGACATAGGGAGCTCCACCCAGGGCGTGACCACGGCCATAGTGAGCTCAGAGATGACTGAGCTCGCAGAAGAGACCTCGGGGGGATCACACAAAAACATAAATTACGAGGACGTTCTCGTTCGCCTTTGAGATAATATTAAAGTGTATGCATATGTTATCTACTAATAGCATTAAATATATTACTGAGCTAACAAAATGGTGTGAAAATTTAAAATTGAGGATTAAATAAATTGTGTTGTTATCTGATAATCAAATACAGTAGATATAAAAACTTTAATATGATTTTTTTTTTACGAATTTTAGTTCTTAATAATAATTTAATTCCCGATGAAAAAACATAAATTAAAATACAATATTTTCTTATAATTTTCACAAGTTTTAGCTAATGCAGCACAATCAAACTGTCTGATGTTTTCGTCTCCGACTTGTTTTCTCCCTCTTACAACTGCATGCTAAACAAATTAAAACATCTTCATTGTTTCTCAACCCCCTAACATCTATATTATTTCAGTACCTAAAATATATCAATTTGTATTAAATCTATGACATGTAGATAAATCAAACTAAACTGAATGAATGAATGTTTACAAAGAAATGCGAAGGATCTTCCAACCTGAAAAATTGTTGGTAGAACTGAATTGTGTTTATTATTCATTGTAGTCTGATAATATTTTTATTATCTTTAAACATGGTGTGGAAAGGAATATTCAGCTGATCTATGCAGTCATGTCACAGGATGCCAGTGGGGTAGGGGGGTATTTGAACCAGCCTTGGTCACACCTGATCTACTCTACTGTACCTACTGATCTGCCATTCTGATATGCCCCTGTTGTGCCTTAATTACATTTTTTTTTCTGATAGCCACAGTGTGATGCAATCAAGTTTTGTTGTAAAATGTACAAATATCTTGTCAGGTCTTTGTTGAATGTTGTTGTTGTTTTTTAAATTAGAAACTAAATTTTTTTTAGAATCCATCTTTTAAGCCTGTTATCCTAAGTAAACATTTTATCAAATATTCAATATTTTCAAAAAAAATTAAAAATAATTCAAATAAATTACAATCAACTTACAAAACATTGTTAGAGAAAATGAGCACAAACTTTGAACTTTATAATTTAGCATCAAATAACTTTTGTAACACAAAATTTAAAAACTTTTAATGACGAGCAAATGATTTTTTTAAACCTTAAAGTATTGAATGTTACACCTAAAATAATCACATATTTTATTTGTGTTAGTTATTTGTTTCCTTGCCTTGGTTTTGTTAAAACTGGAACTTTGTTCTTGCATAACAGTACTTATGATAATACCTACCTTATGTTACTAATGTTATATTTGTATACTCCCCTTTAATGTATATACATTCTTATATCAAATGTCTTATGCCTACAACATGATATATAATGGGATTTAATCTCTACTGATTAATATCAATAAATTATATTTTTTATTTAATACAATAAAAATGTTTTACAATGTTTAAACAGTTGTTTAATACTTGAAAGTAATGTTTTTAAAAAGAGACCTGAAAAATAGGTTTATCTCATTCCATCTTTGACTAGACATACAAAAAACATCACGACAAAAAAAAAACAACAACACAAAACTGCTAAATATTATTCTAAAGATATATAATATATACAGGACTTTTTAAAAACAAAAAAAAAATGTATTTTTAAGATGTGTTTCTTAATTAATACATCCCTTAGTTGATCAGACAGACAAAACATTTCATTTAAAAAAAAAAAAAATTGTTTCTTTGTCCAAGTATTACATCTTTATCAGATTCCATTCTAAGTGTGTGGGTCACATTCAAACACATACCCCAGTGTTGGGAAAATATAACACTAAGAAAAAAAGGTTACTTATAATCTTGTGCACATTTGTAATTTTTATATTTTGTATACAACTTTCAGTTATTAATGTATCTAAAGCCTTGTATAACTAAGGCAGAGGCGTAGCGATGGGGGGCAAGGGGGACATATGTCCCCGGGTGCTGACCTTAGGGGGCGCCAAAATGGGTTGTAAAAACAAATTAAAATGTCATTGTAGGTGTATTTTTGCAGATCGAGGGGGGTGCAAATCGAAAAGTTGAGGGGGGGGGGGGTTCAAATTGAAAATTTGCTCCCGAGGGGGCGCCAAATTGAAAGTGTGTCGCCTGGCGCCGGGAAGGGTCGCTAAGCCTCTGAACTAAGGTTATATCTTTGTAGGTACTGAGCCTTAGCACCCCACACACATACACACACCTACAACTAACATAGGTTGTATTTATATATTCCTAACCCCACCCCCTTCCACCCACTACTAAACAGTAAGATCCGCATTTGTACCGACAATTATTATTTTTCCCTTACGATTCACCAAACACCAGCGCCCTCTATAGTTACATTCTATCACCTCCTACACACAACAATAGCCTGTGTTGGTTCAGTCAAGCCGTCAGCAGATAGCGAGCCAATGGTAATCCCTCAATAAGGTATTCAAAACCTTCTAGCTATCGCAAGCATCTCTACAACCCCGCGGTCATTTAGAACACATCTGAAAGAAAACCAACCATCTCAATTTTCTATTTGCGGCCAAGTCAGATGACTTGCTACAAGGATGTGATCTAAGATATAACAATGATGTACATGACTTTTGAAAGCAAATATAGAATTATGTATTATTTTCGTCTGTTTATGTATGCACCAATCCAGTGGCGTAGCGAGGTCGGGTGTCACCCGGTGCGGCACTTAATGGTATCACCCCCCCCCCAGAGGCGTAAAACTTTCAATTTTCGATTTGCGACCCCCCCCCCCCCCCCCTCAAACTTTCGATTTGCTCCTCTTAAAAGACTATTTAACACTCGAATTAATCACTTAATTAAGTAGAATTATCATTTTTCTCTATATATTTTGCTACTTTTTGCCTTGGTGTCACCTTCCTAAATGGTGTCACCCGGTGCGGTCCCCGCCCCCCCCCCTTCCCCCCCCCCCCCCCCCCGCTACGCCCCTGCACCAATCTAAGTGTAATCAAATCACCCATTTCAATCTACAAACTAGCCACAACAGTTCACGTTCCTAGTAGGCCTATAGACTCAGAGAATAAGAGTCGGTTAACGTAACTATCTCTATAACTATCAGAGACTTAGCAAACACGTACGCCTACACACGATGCCCAAGGAGAAAAGGACTTTGTACAAGTACCCGGGATGTATAAACTGTTAACTGAGTCTTGTCCGAATACTGAGACCGTTTTTTTTTTTTATTTCAATTTGGGGGTGTGGAGCTTGAAGTGTGATATCATTTTACAGTGGAGGTTTGGCCCCTTGTGTGGATTTACTACAATTTAGAAAGGAACGGGTGGGGGAGGGGGGTCAAGATCGGTTAAAAAGTTAGAAGTTAATTATTTTATATTGAATTTGGGCTACACCTTGATGACGTCGGTCACCATTGGTGGCAAGTAAGTTTCTCCACCCAGGACTGGCCAGAGAACGTGTGTCCACTTAGGACTGGCCAGAGAACGTGTGTCCACTTAGGACTGGCCAGAGAACGTGTGTCCACCCAGGACCGGCCAGAGAACGTGTGTCCACTTAGGACTGGCCAGAGAACGTGTGTCCACCCAGGACTGGCCAGAGAACGTGTGTCCACCCAGGACTGGCCAGAGAACGTATATCCACTTAGGACTGGCCAGAGAACGTGTGTCCACTTAGGACTGGCCAGAGAACGTGTGTCCACCCAGGACTGGCCAGAGAACGTGTGTCCACCCAGGACTGGCCAGAGAACGTGTGTCCACTTAGGACTGGCCAGAGAACGTGTGTCCACTCAGGACTGGCCAGAGAACGTGTGTCCACACAGGACTGGCCAGAGAACGTGTGTCCACTTAGGACTGGCCAGAGAACGTGTGTCCACCCAGGACTGGCCAGAGAACGTGTGTCCACTTAGGACTGGCCAGAGAACGTGTGTCCACTTAGGACTGGCCAGAGAACGTGTGTCCACCCAGGACTGGCCAGAGAACGTGTGTCCACTTAGGACTGGCCAGAGAACGTGTGTCCACCCAGGACTGGCCAGATAACGTGTGTCCACACAGGACTGGCCAGAGAACGTGTGTCCACTTAGGACTGGCCAGAGAACGTGTGTCCACCCAGGACTGGCCAGAGAACGTGTGTCCACTTAGGACTGGCCAGAGAACGTGTGTCCACTTAGGACTGGCCAGAGAACGTGTGTCCACCCAGGACTGGCCAGAGAACGTGTGTCCACTTAGGACTGGCCAGATAACGTGTGTCCACTTAGGACTGGCCAGAGAACGTGTGTCCACTTAGGACTGGCCAGATAACGTGTGTCCACCCAGGACTGGCCAGAGAACGTGTGTCCACTTAGGACTGGCCAGAGAACGTGTGTCCACTTAGGACTGAATTTGGGCTACACCTTGATGACGTCAGTCACCATTGGTGGCAAGCGTGTCCACCCAGGACTGGCCAGAGAACGTGTGTCCACCCAGGACTGGCCAGAGGACGTGTGTCCACCCAGTACTGGCCAGAGAACGTGTGTCCACCCAGGACTGGCCAGAGAACGTGTGTCCACCAAGTACTGGCCAGAGAACGTGTGTCCACTTAGGACTGGCCAGAGAACGTGTGTCCACCCAGGACTGGCCAGATAACGTGTGTCCACTTAGGACTGGCCAGAGAACGTGTGTCCATTTAGGACTGGCCAGAGAACGTGTGTCCACCCAGGACTGGCCAGATAACGTGTGTCCACACAGGACTGGCCAGAGAACGTGTGTCCACTTAGGACTGGCCAGAGAACGTGTGTCCACCCAGGACTGGCCAGAGAACGTGTGTCCACCCAGGACTGGCCAGAGAACGTGTGTCCACTTAGGACTGGCCAGAGAACGTGTGTCCACTTAGGACTGGCCAGAGAACGTGTGTCCACTTAGGACTGGCCAGAGAACGTGTGTCCACTTAGGACTGGCCAGAGAACGTGTGTCCACTTAGGACTGGCCAGAGAACGTGTGTCCACCCAGGACTGGCCAGAGAACGTGTGTCCACCCAGGACTGGCCAGAGAACGTGTGTCCACCCAGGACTGGCCAGATAACGTGTGTCCACTTAGGACTGGCCAGAGAACGTGTGTCCACTTAGGACTGGCCAGATAACGTGTGTCCACTTAGGACTGGCCAGAGAACGTGTGTCCACTTAGGACTGGCCAGATAACGTGTGTCCACTTAGGACTGGCCAGAGAACGTGTGTCCACTTAGGACTGGCCAGAGAACGTGTGTCCACTTAGGACTGGCCAGAGAACGTGTGTCCACTTAGGACTGGCCAGAGAACGTGTGTCCACCCAGTACTGGCCAGAGAACGTGTGTCCACTTAGGACTGGCCAGATAACGTGTGTCCACCCAGGACTGGCCAGAGAACGTGTGTCCACACAGGACTGGCCAGAGAACGTGTGTCCACCCAGGACTGGCCAGAGAACGTGTGTCCACCCAGGACTGGCCAGATAACGTGTGTCCACCCAGGACTGGCCAGAGAACGTGTGTCCACTTAGGACTGGCCAGAGAACGTGTGTCCACCCAGGACTGGCCAGAGAACGTGTGTCCACCCAGGACTGGCCAGAGAACGTGTGTCCACCCAGGACTAGCCAGAGAACGTGTGTCCACTTAGGACTGGCTAGAGAACTCACCAGCTGGAAGAAGTGAGTACCTGTGAGGCCTGGCCTATCCCTGCACGACACGGTCATTGGAGGGTGTCGGGTGGGTGGGGGGTGGGGCTGGGGATCTGGCACTGTAATGTAAATATGTGTTGTGGTCATAGGTCAACGCGAAATGATGCATGACGGGCCTTCTGATTGATCTAACCTCCTGCCCA